CAGTGTTGTTTTGGACACAGCGGTTCTGTTTCCAGGAATTTGTTCGGGAAGTATGCTGTATGTGTTTTGACCCGTTTGAACTAATAAAAAAAAACTTTAAACAATTAGGGAGCAAGTTAAATAAATTATTGCACACTTGTATACAAACAAAAGTTCACAAACACAAACCCCAGAGAGGAACACAAAAGATTCCATCCAAGTGTGGTGGAGAATACCTTTGCTCCAGTGCTCAGGAGGTTGAAACAGCAGGATTGTGAGTTTGAGTGCAGCCTGGGATACCAACTGAAATGCTGTTTAAAAAAAAAAAATTACTCATGAAGTGAACCTTATTCCCCAGAGAGAGTAATTGGAAAACTGGAGAGAGGCACATTTGTTTTCCACTGTATGTCTTGGAGTGACGTGCGTTTGAAAGCCATACAAGTGTTTTACTAATTCAGTACCCTGCTTTCTGATAAAGTAAAAATAAAGTACTGTGTGGCAGTTCTTGCAGAATCTTCCTTTGCTGTTGTGGATGGGCTGCATCGGTTGGTGTGGCAGAGACTTCCGAAATTAACAGTGAACGCTCCACAATGACACACTTTATTTGGGGAAATAGTGAAAATGGAGGTTTGTTCTTCCATCATACAGTAGAAAGGAGCGGGGCATAGTGACGGGTCCTTCCCAGGTTGCATTAGTGAGCAGGAGCTGAGGTGACCTCATCCCTTGATCCTGGGCACAAGTTCCTCTCCTAGCGCATGGATAGAGTAGTTCCCAGGGGAAGGGAAAGAGACAGACGGAGTCTCTATAGCAGAATGGTTTTCAGGAAAGCTGAAGCCTAAGAGGGCTGGGGCTCTGACAGAAATGAAATTAGAACAAAATAGACACCTCGTGTGTTTCTTCAACAGGAAGTGGCCAGAAAAGCTCCAACCAGATTCCAAATGTAACTCTCGCAGGGCTGTGGCTTGAGAAATTTCATTTTTAGAGTCTGATGAAAGAGAGAGAGAGAGAGAGAGAGAGAGAGAGAAGGAGGGAGGGAGGGAGGAAATAAAAAGCAAGCAAGCAAAGGCCCTTGAGATGGGTCTCAAATGCACGGCTCAGAAACCAAAAAGCTGGGCATTACTAGCTCACGCCTGTAACTTCAGCACCTGTGAGGCTGAGGTGGGAGGACTGCTAAGGGTTTGGGGCAAACCTGGGTTACATAGGGGGTGGCAGAGTGAGACCAGGGTCACAAAACAAAACAGACACATTGTTTGAAGGAGTACCACAAACTGCTTTGCAGAATCCAGCTTTGAGGCGCAGGTAGGGAGAAGGCTTGCCACGTTTCTGCCAATGTAATCATGGGAGAGGAAAGGGAAAGTAAAGTCTCCACCCCTGCCCTGTGGCTGGGAAGGAAAAGCAGCGACCCCAGGAAGTGAGATGGGAGTGAACTGCATATGTGAATCGAGCTAGCGGCTGGGAAGAGACTCTGCTGCAGCTGTTTGCATCTGGAGGAGTTCTGTGCACTTGAGTAACACTCAGAAGAGAGCTCTGCATGTTAGGTCTACTCAACTCACACCTGGCAGATGCATTTGCCCACAGTAAACTACATATGTGTGCATACTCGTCTCTTTAATGATTTATAACTTCCCTGCCATGGGGACAGAGAAGCTGAGCTTGGGACCTGGGATGGTTGCAAAGTGTGCCACATGTGTGAGTTACAGGGTAAAAGTAAAACATGTTCTTAAAAAAAAAAAGTCAAAAGAAAAACCAATTAAAAAGACAGAGTCTGCCAGGCGGTGGTGGCGCACGCCTTTAATCCCAGCACTCGGGAGGCAGAGCCAGGCGGATCTCTGTGAGTTCGAGGCCAGCCTGGTCTACAAAGCGAGTTCCAGGAAAGGCGCAAAACTACACAGAGAAACCCTGTCTCGAAAAATCCCCAAAAAAAAAAAAAAAAAAAAAAAGACAGAGTCTTGCAATATAGCCCTGTCTGACCTTGAACCTGAGCATTACGTCATTCCATTGAACATCATGCTAGTCCATTTCATTAATACCACTATGCAGATTGGATCTAAGGTAGCAGCAAGTAGCCTCCATGTTTTAGTAAAACGTGTGTGAATCAGAGAACCAAACTCGTTGAAATGTCTGCTGTTCCAACACTCTAGAACACATCTCACGGCAAAAGGCAAGCTACTATTTCTCATTCCCTACCATGGTGGTGAAACACAATGCTTGATAGCCTTTGGAACTTTGGAGTGATATTTAGCCAACCCATTTACCAAGTAATCCATAATCCAGAGACCAGAGCGTAAAAGGTTTAAAGCAAGCCTGGTTTTAGTGCTAACTGTTCATCCATCTGGAGCTTCAGACCCAGCAGGTCCAAACGACCCGAAAATGAACAAATAGAGATTCTGCATGGAGCCTGTGGCAAATGCCAACAGAAGAATTAAAGCCTCCAAGGCTTTTGAGAAAATCCACACTCTGAGAAATACCTCATGGTCTGCTGCTAAATCTTGTGGAGACCAAGCCCTTTACCACGGGACTGGATGCTACTTGACCCAATGGGTCATAAATTGCATTAGTGGACATGGAAGAGAGGAGTCAGGGATGAAGATGTGGGAGGCACAAGATTTACCAGGGTAGTATAATAACAGTTCAGGTCTTCTGACACACTATACCCACAAGGCGGCAGCTGCCGCCTCCTCCTCCTCTTTCCTTTTCTCCTCCTCTTCCTCCTCTCTCTTCCCCTCCCTCTCCTCCTCCTTCTCTTCCTCCTCCCCGTCCCCTTTTTCTTCTTTCAATTTATAGCTTTGTCTGAAAATGGGGAAGGGTTCCTTGCAAGCAGCTGACTGGAAGGAAGAAACTTTGGCCTGGTCTACAGTTTATTCTGACCAACATCATGGCCCCAGTTGATTGTGTAAAAACCCTCAGCATTACAGCTTCAATCTCCCAATGAAACAGAATGTTCCTCAGGAGAGTTCCGAACATGACATTTGGTGTCTACTGTGTCTGAACTAAGTAATAACCAGAATTACGATGTACACTGCAGCGGTTAAGGGCAAGTATTAAAGGTCTGATGAGTAGTCATGGACTCGCAAATAGGTATGAAATAGACCTTACAGAGTAAGTAGAGAATTAGCTTAGGATCTCAGAATGTGAATCTGGGGAGATGCAAACACAACTGTACTCTAAGTGAATGCACCCCAGAGCTCATCTGTGGTCATGAGAAGTCATTTTGGAATATGTTATAAAGGAAACCTAGGTAAGAAAATGTTCACGTGATCAGCCGAGTGTAGGAAATGCCTGATGGAGGCTCCATTTGCAGTTCCTGGTTGTTCTGTGCTCTTATTGGTGGTGCCTGGTAGGAGACAGCTTGGCCCTGTGACCCTGAATTGGTTTCCTAATTGCTGCTGTGACTCTTTGTTACAAAATTAACACCATAAAATCACACGTATTTATTACGTTACCATTCTAGGGGGCTCAAAAGTCCAAGTTTAGTTTCACAGGCTGAAGTCAAGGTGTCAGCAGGGAAGATCATTCTGGAAGTTCAGTAGAGAGTTTGTGTTCCTGCTGTTTGCAATTTCTGGAACATGTCTGCATGCTGTGGCCTATGGCGCCTTCCATTTTCCTCAGAGGTGGTTGAGTACATCTCTCCCCAAGTTCCCAAGTTACATTTGCTTCCACATCGATTGGCGTTCCTGCTCCGTCTCTGTGAAGGCAGTGGACCAATGAGAAGTCTCTCCATCATGCAGTGATGTATCCACAAGGTTCTGGCAGCAGGAAGTAGACTCCTTTGAGAGGCCACTATTCTGCCAACTGGAAGCCTTGATCAGGGATGGCAATCAGAGTTCACAACAGTCCTCTACAGGCCTCTTGGTGCAGGGCAGCCATTGGCTATGATGGATGTCTTTATTTCAATGCTGCCAATGTCCTGTTTCCTTTTCCTATGATAAACTAAAAATCTGCTAATTATTGTCATTTGCGGTTCTGCTAAGTGAGTGAGCTCTGTTATAATTAATGCTGGCTTCCTTGTGCCACTGAACGAACAGCCAAAGAACAGGGTACTTTACTGGCTGCAATGTCTTTGATGACTGTGTTATTGACTTTTCTATTGCTGTGACAAACACCAGAACCAATGGTATTAAGAATATATTAAAATTTATATATTCTAGAATTGATTAAATGAGCCAGGACATCTCACAGCAAGTTCTAGATGGCCTCAGAGCCAGTTTTCTGAAGGTGGGCATTCAGCTTGCTAAGGTAACTGACATGGCTGGCTGCAGCCAGCTGATGGCATTTATGTGGTACATATAAAAGGGAGAGAAGCCACAGGAGTTCCTGTTCTGTGGCATTTGCGGTTATCCGGGAAAGGAGCCAATGTGTCCCGTCTCTTCAGAGATTTCTTTCTGAAACACGACCTGACACCTGACACGTGTGTCTCCATGTGTACTGATGGTGCCTCCTTTTTGCTAGGAGAAAATTCAAAATTTGTTGCCCATGTGAAAAAGAGGTACCTCATGTCGTGGTCATTGTCTATTGAATCCTCAGGCACTTGTCACTAGGACACCGCCTACAAAACTGAGGGATGCTCTGTAAGCCCCTCGAGCCACAGGAGTAGCCAGGCTCCCCTCCCTGCTGGACCTCTAGCTGCCAGGTTCCACGCACCGAACACTCTGACCTAACTGCTGGGCCCAGTCCCCATCCCACTGTTGCCCTTTTCTGGTGGTTGCTGCCTTTTAAGCCACAGCTGTCTGAATCAGCAACTGCTACTCCACCACTAGCAGCATCCATCGGTTAGGCTGCAAGGGCTCGAGCTAGAGGGAAATCTGTTCTCTCCAGCTCCAACTCTCGCCAAGCTAAGAAGGGAGAGCTAACTAAATCCCTATCCCTCTAAAGAACTCAGGATTCCAAGGTTAAAGCAGAATTCTGCTCTTCAGAGGCTAAATAGCAAGTAGCTCACCTCCTCTCCTTGCTCTCCTCCTCCAAAATGTTAAGTTGGATAAGGAGGCTGAAATTTTCTTGTACAAACTCAAAAGAAGTCAACCCAGGTTTCTCATCTTTATTAACAAAGCAATACACAAAACAGACACCAAGGACCGACTGTTAAACCACCCATGCTGAGGCAGGGATAGAACACAATTTTGGCCTTTATGATCAGAGATCTATTTGCATTATAGTTTTGTGTATTTCTGCGGATACACGATCATGGCATGTGTGTAGAGGTCACACAACCTGTTCCTCGGATGCTGCTCACTGGCCTGGTACTTGCAGATTTGGCTGGGCTGGCTGGCCATCTGTCTGTCTGCCTCTCCGGGCCTGGGATTACAAGCACCACCACTGTATCTGGCTGGACTGCTTTCTCTCTCTTTTATGTGGGCCCTGGAGCTCAAACTCACATCCTGGGGCTTGCAAGGAAGCCCTTCTCGGACTGAGTGAATTCCCCAAGGCTGCATTGTGGTTTCAGTCTCAGTCTGAGGACTGACACCATGGACAGCCGGGTATTTGATAATCTGATTCAGTTGCTTTTCCTCTGCCAGGAAGCTATCTTTAACATGGCTTTGAAGAACCTTCAGCTTCAAGTTTTTCTGCTCTTCAAATTTTTTTTTTTTGGTTTTTCGAGACAGGGTTTCTCTGTGTAGCTTTGCGCCTTTCCTGGAACTCACTTGGTAGCCCAGGCTGGCCTCGAACTCAGAGATCCGTCTGGCTCTGCCTCCCGAGTGCTGGGATTAAAGGCGTGCGCCACCACCGCCCGGCTCTGCTCTTCAAATTTTATCAAGTGATACCTGCTGGGTATGCAGACTAGGTAACTAGATGTCTGATCTTCTGTAACTGTTATGAAGACTAGAATTGAATGACGTAGAGTAGTAAAAACCACATCTCCTATCATAAAAGAAGGGAGTTCTAGGTCTAAAAATTCATGTTCAGCAAAGTAAGTCTGAAGCAGTCAATGCTGACCATTCAAAAGCTAAGCATTTTAGATGTAAGGTACAAGGAAATGCACGAAACCCCAAAATTTAACAACCAAGTGAAAAATAGATTTATTATTCAGATTATGGGGACACAGATATTTACATGCTTTGCAGAATTCCTTCTGGTGATGCAGATGGAGATAGAATATTTGTTTTGTTTTTTTTTTTTTGTTTTTGTTTTTTTTGGTTTTTCGAGACAGGGTTTCTCTGTGTAGCTTTGCGCCTTTCCTGGGACTCACTTGGTAGCTCAGGCTGGCCTCGAACTCACAGAGATCCACCTGGCTCTGCCTCCCGAGTGCTGGGATTAAAGGCGTGTGCCACCACCGCCCGGCAGAATATTTGTTTTTTAAAACCAACAAAATCTTAGAAGGCAAAACTGAATCCTATAAAAGAACTGCAATTATTGAGTTATTAGTGATGTCACTACTGGAATTGCTGTTAACAAGAACTGGAGCTTTGGCTGTAAGAGCGAGGACCTACCTCCAACATGGTGCTGCTATAATCACGAGACCAGAAGACTGCACACAGAGAGCTAACTATGGAACAGATGGCTTATTTTTTTCTTAAATTTGAGACCAACTTGCTTTGTAGCCTAGGACAGTCACAGACTTTTGAGACAAAGCCTCGTGTAATGCAGGCTGGTCTCAAGCTAGGTATGTAGCTAAGGGTGGCTCTTGCACAATCTCCTGAGTGCTAGGATTGCAGGTGTGTACCACCACACTCGGCTGACCTTGAACTCTGGATCCCCTGCCTTCACCACTCTTAGGTGCCAGGCTCTGCAAGACGCTCTTGAGGGGAAGACAGCCAAAGTCTCTTCCAAATCTAATTAGAATGCATGATTTTAACCTTAACCCACAACTGTATGCTCTTTCTGGCTTGCTTTGTTTCTTTACTGTGGAGAATGATTTCAGACTTCTGAAAACTTTATTAATGCCAGGCTGCAACAAAGACAGACGAGGTTTCCTATCTATAGTCAGCAGGAGCTGGAATGAACATGCTGTGTATGGACTCGATCCTAACTAGTTACTACTGTCCCAGGAAAGAGGCCATGGGGTCATCTGGCCTCTGTCGTTTCATTCTGTAGGCCTCCATTTCTTCTTCAGTGGGCTCCCGGCTTTCATAGATGCTGTTGTAAGGCCGCTTCCGCTCATCAATCTGCATGATCTCCTTGACATGAAGAAGGCGGGCCTCCTCTGCATTCAGTGCCTGTGGTGAGAGGTGAAAAATAAGTTCCTCAAATCTCTATCACATGGCTTTTGTTCAAAAGAACAATAATCCTTCTGTACACTGTATCACTATATGTCACTATGATTGGTTTAATAAACAAGCTGAACAGGATAAAGTTAGGTGGGAAAGCCAAACTGAGAATGATGGGATGAGGAAGGGCAGAGTCAGAGGAGATGCCAGCCAGCCGCCAAGGAAGCAGGACATGTAGAAAATGAGGTAGCAAGCCATGAGCCATGTGGCAAAGCATAGATAAGAAATATGAGTTAATTTAAATGTAAGAGTTAGCTAGTGACAAGCTTGAGCTATTGGCCGAGCATTTGTAATCATTAAGCCTCTGAGTGATTGAGAGCAGCTGTAGGACAGGAAAACTCTGCCTACAATGAAAGACCCCGTGGAATATGAAGTGTTATATCAAACCCCACCCTGTCTGAAAGAACACAGGAGTCAGCTGTGAAATGATTACTCGTTACTATTGGCTCATTTGATAATTTCCATAGAGAATAAAATGTTTGATGACATTTTTTAATCAGTTAAAGAAATTCAGTTGAGGGATGGCAAGATGGCTCAGTGGGTAAAGGCAATTGCTGCTAAGACTGATGACTCAAGTTCAATCTCGAGAATTCACATGAGGGAAGGGAGAACCAGCTTCTGCCAGACGTCACAAAGTACCTTTTTCAGTTTCTCGTGCTTTCTGTCCTCGTCATCGCTGTCGGAACTGCTCTTCCGGTGTTTCTTCTTCTTCTTTTTCTTCTTCTTCTCTTCTTTTAGTTTTTCCTGATGCAGCTGACAGAGAGAATTGAAACACCCCGTGAACACAGAGCTCTGGCACAAGTTTGATCATCCCCACCCAGGACTTAACAATTCAGAATGGAGGATTCCAGACTGACCTCCATGAGGGTCTGAGGTTTCTTCACAGAATCTTCTCCAGTTGCATCATTTAGAATACACTCCTCCGAATTCTGTGGGAAAAGAAATAGACTCTGAGTTGAAGACTACAGTTACGAATCATTTGAAGAACAGGGTAGAATTTGAAGATATGTTTCCTGCAGGGTTTGGCTGTCTTACACCTTTAAGAACTAGAGGACAAGGGCTGGGATGGAGCTTGGTTGCCAGAGTCCTTGCTTAGCCTGTAAAGCCCTCAGTCCGTCTCCAGCGTCTCCTAAAGCCAGGCCTGAGCACAGCCTGTAACCTCAGCATCTGAGAGGTGGCAGCAGTACAATCACAAGTCCAAGGTCACCCTTGGCCAGAGTGAATTCACTGTTAGCTAAGCCTACTTGAAACCCTATCTCACTCCCCTACCAATCTCCTCCAGAAAAACAACAAACAAACTAACCAACCAACAAAAACTAGAGAATAATTACTTACAACACTCTCCTTCCCAGCTTCTCCAGTGCAATAGGAATACTTGAAAAATGAGTGACAACATTTATATCCCCACCGGCCTTCTTTCCAGTAAGATCCCCAGATGTGCTGCAGAGAGAGACACAACAGAGTATTGGAAAAGGAGCCTGAAATTAGGGACTTTACCTGGGTGGTAGTGGTGCAAGTCTTGAATCCCAGAACTCAGAGACAGGCAGATCTGAGTTCGAGGCCAGCCTGGTCTACAGAGTGAGATCCAGGACAGCCAGGACTGTTTCACATAGAAACCCTGTCTCTTGGGGGTGGGGGAGAGAAAACCACCAACAAATAATCAATACAGACTTGATTGGACTTGACCAAAAATACAGTTTTCAAAGTATTTCTTGTGAATAGATTTTTAAAAAGTAAGGAAGGGGCCAGTGAGATGGCTCAGAGGGTAACTTGTGTCCAGCACATAGGCTGGTGGGCCTGAGTGGAACTCACATAAAAGTAGGAGAAAACTAACTCCACTAACTTAACCTCTGCACATGTGGGTGTGTATGTGTGAGCATGCGTGTGTGTGCGCGCGCACACACACACACACACACACACACACACACACACACGAGTAAAGCCAAATGAATTAAAGAGTTAATGTCAGCTTCTGAGATACAATAGGGTAGCAGGACAGTCTAAACTTCTCGTTTTTAAGAGATATATGATAGTGTTTATAAGTGAAATATCCTATCTGCGATTTCCAAATATTTCTACCCAAAATTAGTATATACAATATGTGTGTTTATCTACATACTAGTGTACATTCAAACCTAGACAAAGTATACATCGACACCAGACAAAAGTGTTTTGATTTTAGGTAAGCATGCAGGTGAATACAGTAATATTTTTCATTTTTCATGTAGAAAAACCTCATAAAGCAAAGCTAAAATGCCAACAACAACAACAAGAAAGGGAAAGCAATGGTCGGCGGCCAGGATATTGTGTGAGAAACAGTAGAGAGCTGAGCACTGACCGTGTGGTTATGGATCTTCACATCTTCCTCATACTTGGAGCAGGCGACAGCCCGCTCCTGGCCTTTAATGACTGTTCCATGCCTGGAGTACTCCACATAGTCTTCTGTCTGGGCCAGCAGCAGCTCAGCTGGAGGAGCATCCAAGTGTTCTTGGCCACCATACTAAAAGGGCAATGGGCATTATTAAATCCATTGTATAACAAAGCTTTTATATCATATCTTTATGAAAGGGCTCATTTTCAAAGAGAATAAATGAACATTTTAAAACTAGCTTTCCTGATGAAACAGTGAAAAAGCATTACTAATTCTTCCCATTTAAATAAGAGGTAACTGACGTTGGTTTCAAGACGGCTGTAAGTTCCTCTTTCTTTAGGTGCATGTCTGATATCCTTTGTCTCATGACTTTACTGGTTCTCTCATCAGGAGATGGAGTCAATTTCTCCATCCCTGGAATCTGGATGTGACTGTGTTAGCTTCTTCCACCAATGGGAAGCTAGCAAATGTGTTGAAAGCAAAGGTGTGCTTTGTGCACTGGGGCACACATTTTGTCACTATGCCCCAGAACCCTAAGAAAGTATTTTAGAAATCTGAGCCAGGATATGAGAAGACCAGACTATGAGATGCGGTCTTGAGCAGTCCTGTATCAGGGGACCCAGGTGATACAAAGAAGTGTGAGAAATAATGAACATTTATCTTAAGTACTACATCTTGGGGGCGGGGCATGACTGCTGTAGAAGTCTCTACCAACTCAGTCGGCGGAAGGACACGACTATGCCTCAAGGGTTAGAAGGGACTCTCCCTACTGTGTACCAAGTTTAATGCTTCTTGTGCAGAAAGTAAAGTCGTTTTTTTAGCGGTACCTTTTCCAAGATGCTTTCTTTCTGCTGCTCCTTGAAGTCTTCTTTTTTGACTTTGAAGGACTTATACAGCAGCTCTAGTTTTGTAGGATCGGCCTGGAGATGCACTTCAGATCCCTTGTCATAGGCTTCCCAAGCAAACACTAGAGTAATTCAAAGCATCTCAATGAGTTGTGCATTTTGTTTTAAAGCAAGCTTTAAGTAATTGCTAACAGTGCCTCCCCATCACCCCTCCCTCTTTTCTTTTTTGTCTGTAGGCTTTTTCTTAGAGAGTTCTCTCAAACGTGTGACAATCCTCCTGTCTCAGTCTCCTAAGTAATAGGGTCATAGACATATGCCAACATGCTTGTTTTATGACCCCCAATTTTGTTTCTTACATTTATTTATCTGGGTGTGCAAATGTATGTGATCACTCATGCCATAGAATGCATGTCAGGTAAGAGGATACCTTGGTTCTCCCCATCCACCATGTAGACACTGGGGACAGAAAGGCTTGATGGCAGGCACCTCTAGCCACCGCTCTGGTTCTCGTCCCTAAAGCTCATATAAAAAGCCTTGGTGTAGAACTAATACTTACACTGTGTTTGAGCCATTGAAATGGTATCTCCTGTGTATCTAACAAAGTTATCTCCAGCGTAACTCACTCTGTAAGCAAACATTTAAAAAGCTGTCTCAGAAATTGTTCCCCATTAGGAAAAATCCATTCACAAAATCAAACTAGAAAGCATTAACTCCCCCACTCCCACTCTGAAGTCTGTAAATTTAACTGGATACTTACTCATCTGGATTCTTTCCGGCATTGGCATAAGGATTCTCTCTCATGGCTCTAGTTTTTGGATCATAATAGGCAGAATTTGGATCTAAGTTTCTCAAATACTAGAAGAAAAAATATTTAAAGACTAAATTAGCATTTATTTATAGCAAGAAAGGGTTCAGCAGGGCAAAGGAGTAGGTTCTGATAAACCCAACATCCATGTATGTTTCTAGTATGGAAAAAGAACATGATGCTGTCCTTTGGAGTGACTCTAATCAGGCCAATCAAACTGTACAGACACTGCACAAGCAGAGGAAGGTGTGGAAACATCATAGGTCGGGTGACAAGACTTACTTTTGCAATATCTTCGCGAATCCTGAGATTCCGAACAGTAATGCGTCTCTTAGAGTCAAAATTCTGCCCGGGCATGTCAATGTCATCCGCGTATTTATCTTCATCTTCATCTTCACTGTTATGATCCTTTTCCTGAAAGGAAGAGTGAGGAATGAGAAAACTAAGCAAAAAGTCGCAGCACTGAGTTCTTGATTTCCTTTCCCTTTAAACAAAGGCTTATCTGTGTAATTCAGAGCTGTTATTATGACTACAATTACCACAAGCCACTGAATCGAAAAAGAGCAAGCAGCCAGAAAAGACAAGCATGTATTACCATCTGAGAATTGGGTTCCTCTTCTCCCCACTGATGTTTTGGAGAATTCTGCATTAGGAAAGAAGGAAAACCATTTGTAATTCTTTTTCACTTAATTTACTGATTACTTAGCACTTTAAAAACATATAATATAAATAGGTATAGATGAGTGGTACAGTGTGTGCCTAGCATGCACCAGGCCCTGGGTCTGATCCTTAGCACTGAAGTAAAGGAGGGAGGGAGGGAAGGAGGGAGGGAAGGAAGGAGGGAGGGAGGGCCGGAAGGTTGGTTGGTTGGATCATTTCAATTCAATAAGCTCTCATACTCCTCACTTGTACTGAACATATATATTCTGACACAAGTGTGCAATTGTGAACACTTAATTGTATTAGTGTCTACAAAACCAGAAAACATTTTATTGATATAGGATGTCTTTCATGTGTACGTCTGTGTGTGTGCATATGCAGACGTGTGTGCGTTCCCTTGGAGGTCAGAAGAGAACACTGGATTGCTTGGAGCTGGGTTCACAGGCAGTTGGAAATGGGGATGGTGGGAACTGAACTCAAGTGCTCTGCAAGAGCAACAATTGCTCTTAACCACTAAGCTACCTCCCCAGCCTCTTGCTATAGGATTATCGTCATACAAAGTAACAGGAAGTTTAAGATGATCAAAGGACCCAATAAACACTCATTTCCATTTGTTTAATCATTAGATGCATCACGTTCATTAAACCTGACTAGTTTTCTTTTTATTTATGCAGTACTGAGTCAGCACATGCCATTGTGTATACGTGGAAGTCAGAGGACAACTCCGTGAAGTTAGTTTTCTCCTCCTATCTTTATATGGGTTCTGGGGCTCAAATCCAAGTTGCCAAACTTGCATAGCAATTGCCTCTTCCCATTGAGTCATCTCACTGGCCCCAAACTTCACTAGTTTTTTAAGATCAAGTCCAAATAGAAAATGCTGTCAGGATGTATGGTAGGACTCTCAGCTACCTCTCCAGTACCATGTCTGCCTGCCTGCTGCCAAGATGATAATGAACTGAACCTCTAAAACCATAAGCAATCCACCCCAATTAAATGTTTCCTTTATAAGAGTTGCCATGGTCATGCTGTTTCTTCACAGCAATAAAAACCCTAACTAAGACAGAAGTTGGTACCAGGGACTGCGGTATCCCTGTGATAAGCCTGACGACCATGTGTATGTTTGGAGGAATCTGGACTTTGGTACTCTGGGTTATGAAAGCAGTGGAATGCTTTGAGCACTCCTTAATGGGCCATAACAGTAGGAGCATGGAAAACAGAGGTGCTAAGAGTTATTTGAACTGTTGGGGGCTCACTCAAGAGGTTTCGGAGGAGAAGAATTTTAGTATGTTGCCTAGAGATTGTTCTTGTGATATTTTGGTGAAGAAAGTGGCTGCTTTTGCCCTTGTCTGAAGAGTCTGTCTGAGGCTAAAGTGAAGAGTTTTCAGCCTAGTATAGACTGTCATGTGGATATTAGTGGTAATGCTAATGAAGATTTAGAATGAAAAGGAGCAAGCTGAGCAGAGTAAATTATAAAAAGTAAATTTTGAGGAGAAAAAGAGCCAGAAAGTGGAATGGCACTAAGACCTGTGTTCAAGGAGAAACATGGATTAAGAAATGGAATAAAGGGAGTGGTGACCCAAGGCAAGATTCAACCAACTAAGTTTCCAACTTGTGGAAAGAAACTAAAGAAAAGCTTAAGAGTTAGGTGTGGTGGGGCACACCTTTAATCACAGCACTGGGAAGGCAGAGGCTGGTGGATCTCTGAGTTTGAGGCCAGCATGGTCTAGAGATTCAGTTTCAGGACAGCCAAGCTTAGGTAGTGAAGGACAGAAAGCTGGTGAAGATGTGGTTGAACAAGGGGGCCAGTACCACCTCTGCCTGCACACCACCATGCTCCCTGTCATGATGATAATGAACTGAACCTTTGAAACTGTAATCTAGCCACCCCAATTAACATTTTCTTTATAAGAGTTGCCATGGTCATGGTGTCTCTTCACAGCAATAAAAACCCTAAGACAGGATGTTTGTAACCTGGGTTTAAACCCCACCACAGCACATATGCAACAAGTCAGAAAAAGAGGAACCTGGTATTATGGGTCTTTTTCTATGATTGTCTTCTATTTTTTTTTTCCCATATATTGCTGTGGTATGTCTTTCTGTATGCTGTGAATATGTGTTACTCTGACTGGTTGATAAATAAAGCTGCATTGGCCTATGGCAGGTCAGGATAAGGTTAGGCAGTACATTCGAACCGAAGAGGAGATGAAGAAGGGTGGAGTTGGGGGAGATGCCAGCCCACTGCCCAAGGAGCAACAAGATGCCTACAGATCGGTAACCCCATGGCCATGTTGCAACATATAGATTAATAGAAATAGGTTAAGTTATAAGAGCTAGCTAGCACAAAGCCTGACCCATAGGCCATATAATTTGTAAGTAATATAAGCCTCTGTGTGTTTACTTGGGACCAAGTGGCTGAGGGACAAGGGTGGGAGAGATTTGTCCCAACCGTGGGGCTGGGTAGGACACAGGAAAACTTCTGACTACAATATATCACTAAGATACATGATAGCTAGTACTGTTAATGTGGTCCTAACAAATGCTATTTTAAGAGTGAAGGCACAGTATATGCAGTGCATCCCTGCAATTCCAGTGCTCAGAAGATGGAGACAGGAAGTTCAGTTCCTTCCTTATTGGAGATGCAGTCTTATTCTACGAGTCATTTCATTGTTTTAAAGCAGTAGTTCTCAACTTTCCTAATGCTGCAGCCCTTTAATACAGTTCCTCATGTTGTTGTGACCCCCAAGCATACAAATATTTTTGCTTCTATTTCATAACTGTAATTGGCTACTGTTATGAATTATAATATAAACCTCTGTGTTTTCTGATGGTCTGAAGCAACCCCCATGAAAAGGTCATTCAAACACCAAAGGGGTCATGACCCACAAGTTGAGAACTACTGCTTTAAAGAGTCTGAATACTTGTATCTTTACTTACGGCTTGTTCCACTAATTTTCCGGAGGCTAACTCTTCTTGCAGTTTCTGAGCTTTCAATGTTCGTTTTGCCTAAAAGAATAGAGACATTTAAAATTTACTTACAACATTTAAAGTGAGTGATTTTAGTGCTTTCAGAAATGGGCATTAGAGCGCCAAGCGTGGCTAGAGGAGATCCTGCTCAAGAGAAAAGAAGAGAAGAAAGAGCGGGCGGGCGTTAGACCCTTGCAGGAACAAGCCCTGATGTAAGCAGAGCTAGGTGGCAGCAATGGTAAACTGCAGAGCAAGTCCTGACAACAACGGTAGATGCTGCTGCCTCCCGGCGACTGACGGACCGTTCTCGGGCAGGTTCAGGTTACTACTATATATTTCAATGCTCAAGAAAACATGAAATCCAGAGCTTTATGTGCAACTGCATGATCTTGCCAGGCATGGTGGCACAAGTCCATAATCCTGCATAATGGAGGTAGAGGCTCAGAACCATCCTTGACTACATAGCTATTGAGTTATAGGGAGCTCAAGATCAGCCGGGGTTACATGTAACCCTTACAACTGAAAACAAAACAAGACAGAAGCTGACCCCCAAACAAAACTCATGACTTTAAATATAATCTGCAATTTCTTAAGAAAAAAAAAAAAGCAGAATAGACTACTATTTTGAAGGAATTTGGATAAGAAGGTAGAATCACTGTTTAAACAACAACAACAAACCAAAAAAACTGATGTTAGATTAAAATCCAGTTTTCTGAAATAGGTTACCTAGTCTGTGTAGCTTTGGAGCCTTTCCTGGAACTCACTCTGTAGCCCAGGCTGGCCTGGAACTCACAGAGATCTGCCTGCCTCTGCCTCCCGAGTGATGGGATTAAAGGCGTGCACTACCACTGTCCAGCAGGTTACCTATTCTTACACGGTATATGAGAGTACCACAATGCAGTCTTAGACACAAGCTGTAGTCTGCACACCTTTAATCCCGGCACAGGATATTTTTAATCCAGAGACAGAGATAGGCAGATCTCTGTAAGTTTTAGGCTAGCCTAATCTGCAAAGTCAGATCCAGGTAAGCCAGCGCTACATAGTAAGACTTTGCCTCAAATAAAAAAATAAATAAATGAAGAAGATTTGGATGTCAGCCTGTTCTTACATGTCTAGCACCTTTGGTCACACTGGGACGAAAGAATAAAAGATGCAAGAAATGGCTGCCAGCCAAGCATGGTGGCACTGGCCTTTAATCCCAGAATCTGGGAGACAGAGGCAGGAGTTCAAGGCCAGCCTGGTATACATAGCAAGTTTCAGGACAGCAAGAACCATATAGAGAGACTCTGTCAAGGGAAAAGAGAGAGAAACTGCTGCTAAGCAGAGCACCACACTGTTTTCACCACTGAATTAGACAAGCTACTCTAAAAAACGACATATCTTCACAGTGCCAAGACTCGGAAAGCACTGTCAGGTTAGACACACAGCAGAATGCATCTTCTCTAGGGAAGCAGGAAAGCAGGGGACTGGCTCACCAGGTCAACTTTGGCGTACTCCTCAACGATTTTCATGTGCTCTTCTGGATTGTAGCCGTTCCATCGGTCTCTCTTCCCGTCATAGTCAAACATCAGCTGAGGCTGGATGTGCTCATCTGGAGCGATGTCAGTGCCTGTGAATTTAGCTCCAACCCGCCGTGGCCTCTGAAAGACAGCAGATCTTTCCTAAGAACTTGCAGCACAGAGGAAGATTTCATGCAACTTTTACAGAGTGGGCGTGGACATACTGTGAGGTTTTTAGTCTCAATTTTTAATTTTCAGGCAGTCTTTGGGCAGGAAACTTTGATGATGCTGGACTAATTTCATGCAAACTAATTTTTATTTTTCTAAAATAATTTTAGGAAAACAGAAGTTCTCTGACAAGGAGAAAACAAAAGCCTTGCTGACAGTTTCCCAACAGGCTCAGGGCTGAGCTTACCTCGAAGCAATCTTTCTTCTTGTGTGTCATGGCCCCACAATTTTCACATGCCCCCTTTCGGTATTTGGTAGTTATAGAATTCTATTAAAGGACAGAGACAAACAAAACAGACATCTTATTTATCAGTCATTTAGAAATAACTTTGGCTCTCACTATCGTGTCTACTGAATGATTTTATTTGTTAAAAAGAAAACCAGGTAGGGCTTCATGTTCTGAGATGACCAAGTTTAAGGATTTCAATTCATGTAAGAAGAGACTGTAACTAACGTACACACTGTGAATTTCAAACTAGGGTCACATAATTCCTTCCCACTTTAAACAGCATCACACTAAAGATTAAGTTCTTCACACAAAATCTCCACCCACAAAGGGACACACAGGTTGCCACATACCTCCTTTACACCTCTCTTGTACCATTCCCCAGAGGAACTGAATTGCTTCTGTTTCTCTGGCTGTGGTCTCTGATGCTTTAAAGTGGGTCTCTTTGATGGATCAATGTACCATGGAACCGAAGAAATGTACTGAGGAATATGAGGGTTGATATCTCTGTAATAAAATGTAAGTAAAATTGTAAAGCAGAAAGTTTGGAAATGACATTTCAATCACGAAGGCAGTGGGCACAGAAGCCAAGAACAGAAATCCTGCCGTGGGAAGGGGAGGGAAGACAGTTGCTATCTCCACTAACAGAAGAACTGAAAGTAAAGACAGAATTTATATTACAGTGAGGAACATCCTAACCAAGATGCTGAGACTAATGATACACCTGGACGGAGACAGAGGGAAGATAGGAGGGATGAGAGAGCTCTCTACCAGAGCTAGAAGTTGAACTAGTAACTAGTGTCCATGGCCAACTGATTAAAATAATCACATAGGCATTACTATTCAGAGATGGGAAGAACTCAAAATAAGAAGATAGAAAAGGAGCTGCCCGGGTACTACCAGAGTGAAAAGGGTAAAAAGGGTAATTGCTATTCATTATAAGCTCCCCAGTATTATTTGACTACTAAACCATGTAGATATGGGTTTGAGAAAACAAAAGAGAGGAATACAAATCTGTACCTAGTAAAGGACAGTTTCCTACCAAAGCAAAGGATGAGAGCCTGATGACGTGGGTATGGATTGGAACAGATCATGCAAGAAACAACTCACTTCCCCTCTTCGTCAACTTCTGCAGGGGCATTGCCCAGTTTTCTCTGTTCTTCTAGCTCCTTCTTTTTCCTCCAGTCTTCTCTGGTCATCTTCTTTGGCTCCTCCAAACTCATCTCTTTTGACCCCGACAGGGGGGTGGCATTAACCGTATCTACAGCTGCCGCCGACATGATGAACTGGCTTCCTCTGAAAAGGGAAGGGATTTTTTACAGTAAAGGAGGCCTTCAGGAATACATTCACTAAGACTACTAAACCATGTCCTAATGATACACACTGTGAGTTTTATCAGGGATTCTCGCTCCTTCACTTTTTTCTTCTCTCTTACTTTTCAAACTTTTTGTGGTGTTGTGATCAAAACTGGGTCCTTGCACAAACTAAATAGCAGTGTCTAGTCTCATAAGTTCTTATTCTTTCCATAGTGCCTGTAAAGGTGGGTTTCTTTACATTTTTAAGTTACATTTTATTTATTGTGTGTGGAGGGGTGGGGCAGGGATTGAGTATGCCATGGCATGTATGGAGAGGTAAGAGGTCAATTTGTAGGAATAGGTTCTCTCCAATCACCATGTGGGTCCCAGGGATGAAACTCAGGTCATCAGGGTTGGCAGCAGATGCCTTTACCTGCTGAACTATCTCACTAGTTCTAAGGGTTTCTTTTTCTTCCTCAAAAGGCTCTACAAACTGGGCATTGTAATATACAACTTCAATCCCAGTACTTGGAAAGCAGAGGTATGTGGATCTGGTACCTGGTCTATGTACTGAACCCATCCATGGCTAGCCAAGGCTACATAGTGAGAACCTGTATCCAAAAAAAAAAAAGTCTATATATTCTCAGCACCAGTTCTCTCAAAATTCCAATTTACAAATGGAGAAAGCCATGTATATAAAATTTCAAATTTCAAAGACTTTAATACAGATATTCCTAAATTAGCCCTCCTGTAAAAAAATTTTCTACCAGTAAAAAAATTACAGAGCCCATCACTGTTTCCAATGAAGGCCCAATGCCTTAACAATTACCAATGTTTAGGGGCTGGGGATGAAGCCTCAGTTGATAGTGTTTGCCAACATGCAGGGAAGTTGGATTCCCCAGTTCTGCAAAAACCAGGTGTGGTGGTACACACCTGTGATCCAGCAATCTGGAGGTTAATACAGGATCAGAAGTTCAAGGTCATCCTTAGCTTTACAAGGAGTTCAACAACAACCTATAGTTATAGTACATAAGACCTTGTCAGAAAGAAATATAGATGGGTCCATATTCAGAGATGCCTAGCAAAACACACACACCACCTATATTCACGGGTCTCTATTTCTATACCTCTGCACTCCTTACCCCCGGTCCCTCTGACTTAGCTTCTGTTCCTAACCATGCCGATGAAACCTACCACTACCTTTACGAAATTAATATTAATCAATGTGCTAAATACCCACTTGTTGCACAAATTCCTAAATGGTCTTTTAATAAAAGACCTAGAGCCAGACATTGAGGTAAATGCTGAGACATCAGAGAGACAAAGGAACAAGCCACTAGAGAAACTTCTCACCACGACCAAATCCTCAGGCTGAATGGAAAGCGAGATACTATCTCCACGAATCCTCTGACTGAAAGTCTCTGAAAAAGCTCTAGTTACTGTCTCCTCATGCCTTATATGCCTTTCTCCGCCCAGCCATATCACTTCCTTCCTAGTGCTGGGATTAAAGGTGTGTGTGCTTCCCAAACACTGGCAGCAAAGGCATGAGATCTCAAGTGCTGGGATTAGAGGTGTGTGACTCCCTGCCTGGCCCTGTTTCTTTCCTAGACTGAATCAATCTTGTAGAATATTTTAAGGTGTGTTACTTTTATGTTGCATTTGTTTAACTCTGTGAAGCTGTGTTACTGTGCCTGTCTAAAACACCTGAGGGTCTAATAAAGAGCTGGCCAATAGCGAGGCAGGAGAAAGGATAGGTGGGGCTGGCAGGCAGAGAGAACATATAGAGGGAGACATTTGGAAAGGGAGAGTGGAAGGAGCCAGCTACACAGCCAGCAATAGAGTAAGATTTTAAGATTTACGGAAGAGAAAAAGAAAAGCCCAGAGGCTAAGATAAGGAAAGCTGGCAAGAAGCTAAGCCAAGCTAAGGCCGGACATTCTTAAGTAAGAACAAGCCTCTGTGTGTGTTTATTTGGTAGCTGGGTGGTGGGCTCCCCAAAAGAGAAAAAGAGTAAAAAACCCCTAACAATACAATCTCATGTAGTCTAGGGTGGCTTTGAACTCCCTCCCGAGTGCTAGGATTAAAGGTGTGCGCCACCACTGCCTGACCTCTATGTTTAATCTAGTGGCTGGCTGTCCTCTGATCCTCAGGCAAGCTTTATTTGATACACAATATGTCACCACACGCACTGGACATTTTCAGCTCTGCTCCTTTTGTCGTAGATTCTAATTCCATGGCTTCTGGAACATGTTACTGGTTACTCCTGTACTCTTCTCCTGTTCTAGACTCCTTTGTGGGCTCATCTATTTTACGCATTTATTCAGAGACTGACTGATTCCTTATGGTATAGCAGAGCCTCACTCATCACTCTAAACAATACCAGTTTCCAAGGATTCAGGAGGAACAGTAGCCCACTGCTGGGGTTCCACATTATTTCTCTGCTACAGAATTTTCATTTGATCTTCAAACCCACATAACCAATGGTTTATGGCATCTCTACCTAGAAGCTCAACATGCCTAAAACTCCTGGCCTCCCCTGTGAAATCCAGGCTCATTTCATTGACAGCTCTTCTTTCTATTTCAGCTTACTAACAATTATTTTTACTTTCTGGATATCACTGCTATTTACCTATTCCTTTCATATTGAATGCTACCACTTTAGTACATGTTGTAATTTTTTTTTTTGAGACTTACCAGTCTCTTCTAATTCGGCCCAATTAATTTTTTTCATACTACAGTTTAATTTTTCAAAACACATATCTCATCACACGCCCCATTGCTCAAGCTCAAAACCTCTCTAAAGCAGTATGGTCCCAGAGAAAACTAAATGCCAACAATATAGGTAGTTCTTTGGTTCTGAGTAACAATATTAAAGAAATAAAAAGGGCCAATGGTGGTAAATGCCTATAACCCAGGAGGATCGTATCTTCAAGACCAGTCTGGTCTACATAGCAAGACCCTACCACAAATGTGTACAAAAGGAAATAAATCAACTTTCATTGAAATTTCTTTCTCTCTTTTTTCTTTTTTTGTGTATTGAGACAGGGTTTCTCTGTGTAGCCCCAGCTGTCCTAGAACTCATTCTGTAGATCAGGCTGGCCTCAGACTCACAGAGATCTGCCTGCCTCTGACTCCCCCAGTGCTGGGATTGATTAAAGGTATGAACCACCACCACCTGGCAAATTTCTTAACTAAATATTCCTCAACTCAGTGTAATTTCAAATTCAAAAAACTAAAAAAAAAAAAAAAAAAAAAAGAAAGAAAGAAACAAAAAAAATCAACTTAGTTTTGGTTGTGAGCCTAGCCTTTAACGGCTGAGCCATCTCTCCAGCCCTCAACTTAGTTTTAAAAGCTGTTATGGGTTTTAAACTTATTTGGACCAGTCACATTTCCATTCTCAACAGTCACTAGCAACTAGCAGCTACCACAGTAGACAGCTATGAGCCAATGGATGCTGTCACTCCTACTCTAAAAGCCAACCCTGACAACATCAGCCAAGGTCTAGTACCTGGTTTCTAGCCTCAAACTGATTGACTCGCCCTCAACTCCTCCTACTCCCCGGTTTTCTTAGCCTTTGGTCAATAGATATTTACACTACTCTTTACCAATACTAAGTGCTTAATGACCAGAAGTCAATGATGCTGTTCAAAGTGCTCTCTTCTGTGTTTGACCCACTGAAAATATACATAGATTTGTTTGTTTGTTTGTTTGTTCTGAGACAGGATATCTCACAGCCTAGGCTGTCCCTGAACTCACTATGTAGCAGAGGATAAACTTCTGATCCTCCTGCCTCTATCTCCCAAGTACTGGATTTATAGGTATGTGCCACCACCATGCTTGGTCTTCTGTAGAAGTTTTTGCAAGGGGCAAGAGAGATGGCGTAGGAGCTAAGAGCATCTACTGCTCCTGTAGAGGACCATAATTCAGTTCTCAGCACCTACATAAGATGGATCATAACTGTCTGTAACTCCAGCTCCATGGGATCCAAGAAGACTGCACATGTACTTACAAGGGCACATACCCACCCTCCTACTTATACACATAATTAAAATCGATTTAAAAAATAAAAATAGAAGTGTTAGAAATCAGTGGTAGCCTAAGTATACTGGGAGGCAAAAGAGGACACTTGTAGATTTAATCGTCTTCGTTTTAACAATTATCATTTCTTTACCATATATACCGTCACCTAATCTTCAACAGCAACCCTATTCTACAGCGAGGAAACATGTTCGGGGAAGTTAACAACTCCAGCCAACAACACATCAGAGAGAGAGAGAGATCTCAAACCCAAACCTGACTTTATTGTCGGTCCTTTAAATCATGTTACACACCACAGGACACTGAATGCAGGCCTGCCACATTCAAGATTAAGACAGACTGAAGTATTGTTGTCATTCGATTACACTGTTCTTCGGAGGGGCCTACAGGTCGGAAGAGTGACAACTCCCACTCACTGAATGCAAGATAGACATTCTAATTTGACCCTCACATCACCTCCCCAAAATCAGATCAGGCCATTAACGAGAAAACTGAAGCTCAAAGGCATTCGTCTGGGGTCAGAGGGGTCAGCCTGGGTAAGGGCCGCTCAGGATGTCCGCCCCACTGTGGCCAGGACTCGGCCCTCTGTCCTCGGCTGGACGCGAGGGTGGCGCCTGCGTCCCGGGCGGTAGTCTGTCTTCCTCCGGGTCCGCGGTCACCGGGAGGAGTCACTGCAGGGAATGCCCGCTCCCCGAGGTCCCCAGTTCGTCCGCTCAGTCTCAGAACCCTAACTTACCCAGTCCCGGCACAGACCACGCCAAAACCATCCGCCACGAACGAAGCGAACCCGTAATGTTTACTTCCGGGTTCCCTGCCTTCTTCCGGCAGCCCAGCAATAACTTCCGGAAGGACGGCACATGCGCATTTCCAAGTGCTTGGCGAAGGCTTTTTTTTTTTCTTTTCAAAGAAGACCGCGGTCCAAACAGGTAGTTCGTAGTGCACCCTGCAGGGAGATGTTGGCAGTGCAGCTTTCTGCCCCTTGCAGGGAACCCTATGTTCCTTCTAGAACAGTAGAATTTTAGCAAAACTGTTTACTGAAGAAACCCAAAAGGTAGGCGTAATGGCGCACGCCTTTAATCCCAGCAGAGATAGGCAGATCTTTGAGTTCCTGGCCAGTGACATAATATGTCTCTGTCTTAAACAAACCTAAATAGTCCCTTATAAAACAGAAAATAGTAAACAAACTACTGGAAAAAGGTGATTTTAGTGGAACTTTTTTCTTCTTTAAAAATTATTGTTTTAATTTAGGTGTATGAGTTTGCCTGAGTTTGCACATCATCAGCATCATATCCTCTGGGACTGGAAATATATATATCGTAAGACACCATGAAGATGCTGAGTACCCAATCAATCCGGGGTCTTCTGTAAGAACAGCAAGCTGTCTTGACTGAGCCATTCCCTGGAAATTTTTCTTTGTGCTGTCTTACAATTATTTACACTTCCTCCACAGGAATTCCTTTTCAAATATAGATGAATACAGATAACATCCCCACCTCAGTCAAAGAGCCCGAAGTTATAGATCTTTTTTAAAAGAACTTGAAGTGCCTGAAGTTAGGAATGTAAAAGGAATTTTGATTATTCATGGCAGTTGATGACAGAAGATCAGAGGTCAGCTGAGTCTATGACTTACTGAGATTTGTCCCCCTAACCCCTAATTAAACTAATTCCTGGAGAGATGGCTCAGTGGTTAAGAGTACTGGCTGCTCTTCCAGAGGATCCAGATTCAATTCCCAGTACCTACATGGCAGCTCACACTGTCTATAACTCCAGTTCCAGGGGACTGATCACCCTCACACTACGTACATGTAGGCAAAACAACAATGTATAGAAAAAAATCATTTAAAATAATAAAAATAGAAATATTTCCTGAGCCAGGCAGTGGTGGTGCATGCCTTTGATCCCAGCACCAGAGAGGCAGAGGCAGGTGGTTCTCTGTGAGCCAGTCAAGGCTACTCAGAGAAACCATGTCTTGAAAAACAAACAAAAACAAAAAGACAAAAAACCAAAACAAACAAACAAACAAAAAAACCCTCAAATAAATAATAATTCCTGAAATTTGATTGTGGAGACTTAATTAGCCAGCTCAAAGCCAGAGAGTGCTTACTCAGAAAGAGGAATTTTTCCTCAGGCTTGAGTTCTCAAGAAGATTCTAGAGGTACCAAGAAGGCAGGGGTCATCTCTGGATTCTAGCTTTTGGTAAAGCTAGATTAGGAGAAACTTGTATTAGCTAAGGACTCTGTATTATACATGAGGGTAGTTTACCAACCAAGAGGACACATTATTTCCCAGTAACAAGTGGAAACCACAAAGCTTGTCTAGGGATCTCATTACTAAGAAAACAATGGCCTTTTAAAGACAGGGTGGTTATATAATTTACACTTGCAGTGGGGCCTGGGAAAATGTTTCCTGTGGGTGAGAAAGGGAGAAAACCTTCCAAGGAGTTAGAGAATGCCCATGTGGAAGCTGTGGGAATTTATACAGGTTTATTTTTGAAACCAAACTTTTGTGTGCTGGTGATTTAATATTAAGAAGCAAAATTTAGAAGGAGATACAAGGAGAAAATAACAGGTTGAGGGGATAAAAGGAATAGGACAGAGAAGGGACAGTAAAGGTATAAGTGGTGTGTGTGTGTGTGTGTGTGTGTGTGTGTGTGTGTGTGTGTGTGTGTGTAGGGGGGTTGTCTTTATTCTTCACCTCCTAGAGTTAGACTCTTCTTTTTGATAATAAGCATAGTACCCAGCATTTAACAGATGTACAGGAAATATTTGTTGAGTGAATTTAAAGGAAGCTTAAGTTACATATTCATTAGGTGTAAAAAGACAGATCCCAGTGTAAATTCTTACTTGTAAGTGTAAAAGGCAGTCCTGCATTTTATAGTGTTACATCCCTCTCTCTCTCTGAAACTTGGGGGAAACTTTTCAAAATAAATGTACATTCCTTAAATTTTATCAGCACCAAAGTTTTTGCCTATAACATTTCACAAAAGCAAGGTGTATTCTCCACTTCTCTTTGAATAATTCCTTTTCTTTTGGAGACAAGGTCTCAGTATGTAGTCTTGGCAGGCTATAGCAACTGTGTAAACCAGGCTGGCCTCGAACTCACAGAGATCCACTTGCCTCAGCCTTCCAAGTGCTGGGATTAAAGGTGTTGTGTCGCTAAGCCCAGCTTCTGGTTCTTCATTTTGAAGAACCTCTTTAGCAGACAGATAGCTGTCTAGGCAGACAGAATTATTTATATAGAGATCCTGAGGCTAGACAGAATCTGTTGGTTCTGAGCAAACAAGAGAATCCCTATATGTCTGGAGAGAGGGAAAGAATTTCAGAGAGTGAGATGTAGGATTTGCTTAGTGATTTGAAATTTTGCTTTTTGTTGTTGTTCGAGACAGGGTTTCTCTGTGTAGCTCTAGTTGTCCTGGAACTCTCTCTGTAGACCAGGCTGGCCTTGAACTCACAGAGATCCACTTGCCTCTGCCTCCTGAATGCTGGGATTAAAGGCGCAACACTACCATCTGAAATTTTGCTGTTTTATTCCTAGTGTAATGGAAAGCTTTCTTGCTCTACCACCCACTGTCAGTTATTTAGCGGCGCTCTTACCCTGCGAGGAAATGTCACAAAACACGACAGAATCCACTAACAAGAGTTTTATTAAGATGAAAGAGACAGACGAGTGCTCAGGCCTGCGGAGAGACACGTGTGTGGAGAAGAAGGAGGAGGAAGCTGGGAATATGGCGCCAGCTTATAAAGGCTGGGTGGTGCACGCATGCACAGATCACATGGTTGCGTTGCACGCTCTTATGCAACCATGCAAAGCCACGGAGTCCTGGTCATGTGAGATGCCTTGACCCAGAAATGGCTATTTTGACCTGGAACTGGCTAGGCAGAAGTGTCTAGGTCCACTGGGCATGCACAAACATGCCCAGCCTTGGGGGCGTGTTGTGAATCCATCATCCCTGACTCTTCTTTTTTTAAGAAAGAAAAAAATTGTGGTTGAGTGGGTATGGGGCAACGTTTCTCTCAAAGATTGCTTCTGGCTGAACAGTTGGCTCTTGGGGGAAATGGGGAGGTTAGCTTGTGAAGTCCTGGGATGATGGTGGGAGGGGTCCTGGAATGACGTTCTGCCGTCCCCTTGTTCTGCAGCTGTCCATCCATGCTGTGGCTGGGAACCTTCTGTTTGACAAGATACTGTTGTCATAGAAAAAGCTTAGAGAAAAAAGAATTATTATTATTTTATTTTTGGAGTTGGCATTTATCTGAGGTAGATCTGGCCTGCCCAGATGGAGACATATGACATTTATCTGAGGTAGATCTGGCCTTAGTACTCTGTTTAATTTTTATCTGAGACAAGCCTTATTACAGGTAGTTTATTTAAGGCACCTGTTTCCTTTATTAGTTTAGCATTTAGGAAATGCAGGTGATCAGTTGCTGAGTATTGAACAATGATCGACTGTTGTATTATATTTTTCCTTACCGCCTGGATATTTTTGATGGTCCTTTTTGCCTCCAGCTCTGTGTGGTCCTAGTTGGGAAAGGAAGGAGTGATATCTTATTCCTCTGGAATTGGTGACAAGGCAGTGGATCCTGATGTCCTCTGGAGCTTGAGAGTACAAGGCCCTGTTTGTTTTACTGTATATGAAGAGAGATTTTTCTGGGATGGAGGTGAGATAAAAGGTTTTAGAGCCGGGCGGTGGTGGCCCTGCCTTTAATCCCAACACTCGGGAGGCAGAGGCAGGCAGATCTTTGTGAGTTGGAGGCCAGCCTGGTCTACAGAGCGAGATCCAGGAAAGGCACAAAGCTACACAGAGAAACCCTGTCTCGAAAAACCAAAAAAAAAAAAAAAAGGTTTTAGATGAGACAGGTGGACCCAGTGAGGAAAGCCCTCAAGTTTAGCAGCTGTAGGAGTCACAAGAATTACCTTGAAGGGTCACTGAATTGTATAGTCTTTGTCGGGTTCATTTCAGTGTATGGTTTTTTTTTTGCAATGCTTTTTATAAGAAAGTTTTAAAAAATCTGGGAAGAGAAGAACCTGATCCCCGATGTGTATTGGAGGTGGACAATTATTGTCACACGGCTGAGGTAATGAACAGTTTGCGTGGCTCCATAGGATAGACCTTAGGTGACATAAAAGGGGAGTTAACAGGCTATCTGGAACAGTTGGAGGGTTGGATAAAAGACCTGGTGTTAGAACTGGCCTTCCATACATTAGTTCAAACGGAGAAATTGAAAGAGGCTTTTTAGGAAGAGCCCTGAGCCTGAGGAGAGCTAGAGGCAATAATCTTACCCAGTCGAGATGAAGTTCCTGTGACATCTTAGTAAGAATAGTTTTTAAAGACTGGTTGGTACGCTCCACCTTTCCTGAAGACTGAGGACGGTATGGGATATGAAAATTCCAAGGAATGTTAAGAGCCTTAGCTAGTGTCTGAGAAATCTGAGAGGTGAACTCTGGGCCACTGTCAGACTGAAGAGAAGCAGGAACCCCAAACCGAGGAATAATTTCTCGGAGAAGGAGATCTGCAACTGTCTGAGCCCGCTTAATAGAAAACGGATATGCCTCCACCCAATTTGAAAATGAGTCTACCATCACGAGGAGATATTTAACTTTCCTGACAGTGGGCATATGGGTAAAATCGAGCTGCCAGTCAGTCCCTGGAAGGGAACCTGGAGCCTGGTGGGTGGGAAAAGGTTGACTCCTGTACTTGGTATTGGGATCTATTTTTTTTTGGCAGATCTCACAAGCGGCAGTAATAGTTCTTAATAACTGTAAGTCCTCAGAGGTGGGCTGCAGGTGAACTTTTACGAATTGAGACAGAGCAAGATTATTAGGATGAAAGAGCTGGTGTAGATAGGAAAGAATTTGTCT